CAAGAGCTTCCCTTCAGCTGGTGTACCTAAGAGCATCTTGTGCTGGACCAGTCCTGCATGGGTTGGTATCACTGCCTCTAAAACGTGTGGGAGTAGAAGAAAAACGCTGTGAAGAATGTGGCTGTATGTGTGTTTATGGCAGCTTTCACACTGGGGGGTGGTGGCTGGGACAGGCCAAAGCAGAACTGTTCCTCAAGGCTACCTTAAATAACTTTCTCCTTCCTGGATGTGAATCATCTGATAAACTTCTGCTCTTTTAACATGTTGAGTCTTGTGTATAATGATACCTGTGTTTTTTTAAGAGCTGTTCATGAGGTTGTGGCTTTTTCACCTGCCTCCTCTCCTGGGTGGAACTGCAGGCTGTGGAGGCAGCTGTTTTTCCTCCAAGGAGAAGCCAGATTATAGCTTTGATGGGTAGAGAATGAAAAATCCTGTCAAAACATTCATTTCTCTATCAGTCCTCTGATGGAAGGAGACACCATTTCAAACGAGTTATGATGGTAGTGGTCACTGTATCCCTTGAGAAGCATCTTGAGGTTGAAAAGCCTCCAGAAAATTGAACTTAGTCCATGGTGTAGCAAATAAACACTATGAATTCTGGTTTTCTAGGCATGACGATGTGTCTGTGGAAATTTTTCCAAGTCAGTGCCACTGATTCTTCTTTAAATAAACAAAGAAGCCAAGCAAAACAAGAGCCCCAGGCCTGGAATTGCTTTCTAACTACCTTTGGCGTAGTTAGATGTTGTGTGAGGGGAGAGCAGCGATGTTGTGTGAGGAGTTGGCAGCTCCTAACTCCTTCCCAGACCACCTCCATGGTGGCATGTCATGGAATGCTTGTGTCCCCAGCTCATACCTTGCTTTTGCTACCTGCAAATCCAGGTGATGGGGCCGAGCTAGGCTTGCAGCAAGGAGTGGGAATTGGACTGGAAAGCAGTTGCCTCCTTGGTGCTGTGAGAGCTAGAGGAAGCAGTGCCTTGCTCAGGCCACAAATGTTGTGACTACTCAGCTTTATAAATAGAAATGCTCAAGTTTAATCTTGTCAGTGCAGGGTTTGAACACATACAACTCCATTTTGCCTGCTGTCCTTTTCTGCTGCCATGGTGGTCACAGGGAAAAGGTGTTTAAATGCTGCAGCTGCTGATTTCCTTCCCAAAAAAGTAGCTTGAGCTTCTCTTTTCATTTCTGTGTTGGCTGTTGGAAACTAACACAACCTTACTCTAAAGTTTCTATTCTTAGCAGGGTGTTATCATTTGAATTGTGTTATTGTTTAAAGCCTGGAAATGTTTGCTTTTCTGGAATTTGGGTCTTGTCTTGCAGTGTTTCTGTGTTTAAAAAGAGGCACAGCAGGAGAAAGGAGACCAGGAGGAGCAGAACTAAAACTTGAGGGCTTCTCTGAGAAACTCACCCCATGGCAGTGGTCGCTGCCTCAGTTTCCCCATGTCTTACACTAGTGATCCCTACTTCAAAGATACTTTGTGAAGATTAATTAATGCTTGCAAAGGCCTTTGAAGTTGCAAACACAGGAGTTGAAATGGGAAAAGTTTCCATGCCCCAGGTACATGTTCTGTGCACTGTCTTGAGTTCAGCTTTTTCAGCATCTCTCGAGCTCTTCCAGATATTTTGAAGGGTTTATTTCCCAGGTGCTTTGGGGAGACACTGAGTGATACAGCTGTGCTTGCAGGAGTTAGTTCCTCACCATCCCCCTGAGCAAGGGAAGATGATGCCCTTTGCCTCAGCATTCTGGAGCAGGTAGAAATCTAGGTGACAGGTGTGTCCTGAAAACAGTGTCACTGCACAGCAGGTGAGAGGTAGTTCTGTGCTAGGAACAAGCCGTGAAGGCTTCACTTCTATGCATAAGAAGCCAAAAGTTTTTAAATTCAGGTTTCCCCAGTTCTTCATGGAGGCAGATAAAAGGCTGCATGGAAAGGTTCTGTGAGCAGAAGGTTGGGAGTGGGGAGGTCTAAGCCAGGCTAGCTTCTCCTGGGAGCACCAAGGTTTTGGTGGCTCCTTTCCTGCAGTCACTGGCAAGTGTGTGAAGAGCTGAGGCTGGATTTTTGGCTGCTTTGGGTGCAGAAGCTGTGCCAGTGCTGTTTGGAGCTGGAGTGAGCAGTTGAGGCAGTGTGGTGCAAGCAGCACACCTCAAACTTTTCCTTCCGTCTGGAAACAGCTCAACAGCCTGAGACAGAACAGCCTGAGGAATCTGCATCATGGAAAACCCTCCCTGCCAGCAGATAGATGACTGGGGAAAATTACAGCTTTGGAGGAAATGTGCTGCTCTTGCTTAGGAGCAAGTGCTGACGTCTCTGTGAGGCTGAGCAGTGCGTGGGCTGCTGGAGGTGGGAAGGGCTTGTGGTGGCTTCCGCACGCAGCCTGCTCGGGCTCCTCGCTGCGCCTCGCACGCTTCTCACCCAGCCTGGGCCCAGCTGCAGCTGGCACTGCTGGAGCTGCACTTCCCTGCAGAAATAGAAGGGCATAATTGGCTAGACATGTTGGATGTGGGAGTGTAGGGAGGAAGACCTGCTTGGATTTGCAGGGATTCTTCAAGAAGTTGGTTCTGCTTGGAAATTGGTTGTGACAGAGTGGGGGTGATGCAATGTGTTCCCCATTGTGTGGCCTTTATATGCCTGAGGAAAATGGGATCCTCTGTAGTTTCCCTGTCCCCTCTCACTTCTGCATTTCGTCTGGTGTTTCAGAACTGAAGGAGAGCCCAGAGACTCTTTAGCAGGGAAGGGCATGTGCTGCCTACTAGCTTGGAGCATTTGAAACCTTGGGAGAAATGGCTCACAGATAAATCTAATTTCATTATGGGATGTAGGTGGAAATAAAATGGTATTTTATTGATCCAAATGTCAGTCATTTCATGTCTGATTGGCCACCAGTCAGAACTCCTTAAAGTTGCTTTTATCCACTGATAGTTCAAGGAGTTGAGGAAATAGAGCTCAAGTGGCAAGAAGACTTTCTAAATCTGTCGCATGGAACAGATTGGCACAATAGGAGAAGAAGAATTGCTGTTGATTTGTTTGAATAACAGGAGAGCTCCTGAGCTAACAAGGTGATTGAAGTGAGCAACGTTTGTAACCAGGTTTTCCAAGGATAACCGTGTCCTGTGAAGGTTTTGGTTTAGGGAAGCTGCATCAGGCTGTGGAGTCCCTGAGCTTTGTCTTGAGGAGTGTGTGACTGTGCAGTTAACTGACCTCCCATATGGAGAACTGCATAAATGCATGGAATTCTGGTGATTTATTGCCAAAATTGCAGCGATTTCCATAGCACACAAGGGCTAACAGCCTGCATTTATCCTGATGACTTTTCCTTTTGGATGCCTGCCTTGGTGTGAGACTGTTTCCTGCTGTCTAAGGATGGCTGTGCTGGAGTGGAGAAGCAGGGATTGGGAAGGTGGTGGAGACAGACACGGAATGGCTTATTTGGAGTAGTTGAGGAGACCAAATCGTTGTGTATTGTGTTGTTAGAGCTTTTACCAGCTTGTGGGAAGAACCTCCCTGTTTCTGGGAAGGGGAGAGCAGGGATTAAGTGATACCTAGTGCTGCTTCCAGTGTGTTGTGCATTTTCTCCTTGCTTGACCGTGGCAGATCTCTGCTGGGTATCAGCAGATCTGCAGTGCCTTGGTTTGTTACCTGTCCAGCTCACAGTGTGAATCCCTACCCAGAGTTTCTCACAATAAACAAGTTTGTTTAAGCAGTTAGTTAAAAGATTTGGGTTTTTTTTTGTTTGGGTTGGGTTTTTTTCCAGTTGCTTTTCCTTCAGTTTGAAGGTATGAACCTGGCCTGGCATCAAATGCAGGTGGCTGGAGGGGTGGAAGGTGATGGCAGTGAGCCACAGAAGCTTCTCACTCCTACTGGGAGGCAGTTCCTTTATTCCAGATTTATGTGTGGCATCCTTGCTGAGGGTAGAATGCAGGTGACTGGGGGCAGGTGAGAAGTGTCCTTAACAGAGTAGACAGGAGCAGTGTGTTGCCTTTCCCTCCCTGTGGCTCTTAGTTGCATTAAATAGCTGACTGCAGGTACCAGGAGTACTGGGGAGGCCTGTGGGAAAGGGAGGATGCTGCTGCCCCTTTGGAGGGAAGGAGAGGCTTGAGAGCAGCTCTGGGACCATAGAATAGAACCAGGGAATCCTAGAATGGTTTGGAAGGGACCTTAAAGCTCAGCTTGTCCAACCTGCCATGGGCAGGGACACCTTAGCCCAGGTTAGGTTGCTCCAAGCCCCATCCAACCTGGCCTTGAGCACTTCCAGGGATGGAGCAGCTACAGCTGCTCTGGACAACCTGTGCCAGTGCCTCAGCACCTCACAGGGAAGAATTCTTCCTAATATCCAATCTAACCCTACTTTTACCTGCCATGTAAATCCCTAACCAGTCAGACTTGTGGGATCTGCTCAGTACCCACAGATGCACCTGCAAGGATGTGTTCCCTGCCCAGAAGAACATGGGTAACTCATTTAGTCTTCATTTTCACTATGTTTTCTCCTTCCATTCCTCTTGTTTGGGTCTAAGCTGAGACTTAATGAACTGGTGGGCAGTTTTGTCACTTCCTTGGCAAATGCCACATTCTCCATCACCTGTCACTCTGTGTTTGGGAAAGAACCATCTGTGTCATGTTCACGCAGGAGAACGTTCACAAATATTGGCTCATTTGACTCTTCTCTGCAAATACTTAGTGTTAAACATCGTGTTTCTAACACATTAGGGGTTCGTGTGCCATCCAGGCTCAGTGCCAGTATGGAAAATTCCAATGTCTAAACTTCTCTTCTAAGCCAGTCCATGTTTGTCAAAGTAAATTATAGGTAAGGAAGTGATTAGGTAAGAAAATGCTTTAAAAAAAAAGTGCAAAATAGCTGTTACTTTTCCATCCCAGTTTGTGTTAAATTCTCTGTTTTAATGTGCAAATGTGTGAGTGGGGAAAGTATTTAATGTTAATTTTATCCTTACATGGGTCTTGTCTGCTTGTTTTTTTTTCCCCCCTGCCCATTCCAAAGGTTCTCTAAGTATGTCCTCTCTCTTCCACAGTGGTAGTCGCTCTTCCAAAACCTTCAAACCAAAGAAGAACATTCCAGAGGGATCTCACCAGTATGAGCTGCTAAAACATGCCGAGGCCACGCTGGGGAGTGGGAATCTCCGGATGGCTGTGATGCTTCCAGAGGGGGAAGACTTAAATGAATGGGTTGCAGTGAACAGTGAGTTTCTGACCTTTGGTTCATAAGGGGTGTTGGATGTGGGCTGACACCTGGGGGAGGATAACTCTGTGCCCCTTGTTATACCTGGGAAGAGGAGGATCAGGAAGGGACCTTCTGACCCTCTGGAAGGAGGTTGTGGCCAGATTGGGCTCTGCTCCCAGGGAACAGGTGACAGGATGAGAGCAAACAGGGGAGGTTCAGGTTGGGCATCAGGAGGAATTTCTTCAGGAAAAGGATTGTCAAGCGTTGGAATGGACTGCCCAGGGCAGTGGTGGAGTCACCAGCCCTGGGAGTGTTCAAGAAACCACTGGATGCTGCACTTAGTGCCATGGTCTAGTTGACAAGATGATGATTGGTCACAGGTTGGATTCAATGGTCTTGAAGGTCTTTTCCAACCTTAATGATTCTGTGATTCTAATAGAGTTTGCCATTTTCCTAAAGTTAGTTCCTTTTGTTTCTTGCCAAGTTGTCTTTGCCCTGCTAAATCTCCGATGTCATTATTTTATCTTCCTCCAAAGCTGTTTGTCCAAACTCACTGCTTTTAGGCCAAACAGTGATGCCCAAATTAGTGTTTTCTGGGTGTTTGACTGTGTTCCCTCCTTCTTTCTCTCCCTGCTGCATGAGTTTGCTCTCTGCTCTTAAAACCTGGATTATCTCACATCCTGTCACACTCCATAGCCTGTGCAGTTTTGGCTCCCACAAGCTCTGTGCTCTGTCTGGGTGTTTTCTGATCTTCTGTGTCTCTGTCTTGGTGCTCCCATGGTGGTACAGGATTGACTGTGCACTGCAGTAGCAATCATGCTCAGGGTGAATGCTTGTTTCTGTGGTTCTGCCTGTTTCTTCTTGCTCTTTGACACGTTTGGGAAGTGAAACTGTCATCCTGCTTCAACCTTCCTGTGGTTAATTAGCCACACAGTGCTCTGCTGTTCCTCTTGCCAGTGCTTCCATAGCATAGTGGAATTGCTGACACCATCTATGGCCAAGTTCATTCACACTGTGTTGCAAAACTGCCTAGAGGAAAAGCCATTCCCCTTTTACAAGTAAGCATTGCTGAGGATGCTTCATGTATTGGTGGATCCTTTCCTTCTGATGCTTCCTTCACTCCATGTCTCTGCTTTCCTGTATGGCAGTGGTGTTTTTTCCCTTTCCAAATGATTAAACTGCTTAAATTAGCTATAATCAATGTAATCAACCAGTGAGCTGAAAATATACTCCCTTCCTGACAGCATCCCTCCACCACACTGAGTCCCAGAGTGTGGTAGCTGTGAGCCCTTTGCTTCCTGAGAGATCTCACCAGGAAATAACCTGTGTGACTGCACGACACTGCTTTGAGCCTTCACAGCCCTGAGAGCACAAACCAGACATGCTCTGCTGTGCTCCTTCTTGCTCAGCTCTTAGCCTGCCTGACCTCTTGGGGAATGAGCTGGATTTTGAGAGCTGCAAGTGTGGGATTTGCCATCATTAGTCCTTGTGCTGCACCCTGTGTGGGTTTTCTGAATATGCCTGCCTTGAAGCCAGCACTGGGCTGTGGTTTCTGCTGGGAGCAGGGAATGGAAACTTAATTAACAGTTCTTGTGTGCACTTCACAAGCAAGGGCTGTATACAACCACTTCTTGCTGCCTTCCCTGTTAGCTGCCTCCTCCTCCCTCCCAAACAAGCTTTAGGAACCCTCTGGAGCTTCTTTTTACCAACCTTTCCCAGTGTTGTTCTGCTGTTTTCTGCTTCTGCTGTGCAGGGAGAGGAAAAACGAAACCCACACCAGATTTTGTTGCTGCAGATGAGCTGTGCTAGGTGCAAGCCAGACCAGTTTTTGTTGGCTTCCCTTTTTTGGTACCTGGGAAGCTGCAAGAAACAGTTATAGCTCCTATCCTGCATCTGCTGAGCAGTAGCTGTAACTTGCTGCCTTGATGTTTGGGTCATCGTTGATGTTTATCCTCTGGAAGGTCTCTGGAGGTCAAGTGGATTTTATAAACTGCAATGACCACAGCTCCTCAGAACAGAACCTGCTGTTGGTTATTGAGGAAGAGCTTTGCTTTCCAAGAGTTGGGATGAATTAAGAACCAGCTTAAAGCAGTAGGAACTATGGGAATATTTAGACACACCAAGTTTTGGTCTTCTATTTCAGTCATTCAGCTGGAGACCATGAAAAAAACCCCAGTTTTGTCTAAGAGAACTACTATCCCAGACATGGAATGAAACTACCCGCAGTAGCACTCCAAAGCAAAACTCCAAGGGCAGTTTATAATGAGGAAATGCTGTGGACTAGATACTGATTTGTGGTGATTGATTGATAGTCTAAGGGCAAGGAGTCACTTGGTGCCTCCTGTGTCATAGCTCCTGTACCCACCTGCCAGGCGTGGACTGCTTGACCATAATGTAACTGAAAGAGTAGGGTGAGATGGGCTGTTGGGAAGGAATTCCTCCATGTGAGGGTGCTGAGGCACTGGCACAGGTTGCCCAGAGCAGCTGTGGCTGCCCCATCCCTGGGAGTGTTCCAGACCAGGCTGGATGGGGCTTGGAGCAACCTGGGCTAGTGGAGGGAGTCCCCGCCCATGGCAGGGGGTGAAACTACACAATCTTTGAGGTCACTCCAACCCAAACCGGTCTGGGATTCTATTAAATGTTCCTGGAAAAAGGTGGTTGCTTGGAATACAAAACCTGAGGGAAGTCACTGTCACCTGATATCAATTGTCAACTGCTCTCTCCAGTTGGAAAGTTAACACTGAAAATCTTTATTCCAGTAGAATTTGAGAGCCTAATAAAATGCTCCAAAGTTTCAGAGAAGGAAATAGCTCAGCTTTCTCCTTTCCTTTCCGTCCTCCAGCCGAGGATTTTGCTGCAGTGCACAAGCAAATAGCTCTTGCTGGAGGCTCCTCCAGAAAGTTGGCGCTTGCATTCTGCATCTCCTTCATACTGGAGCTCAAAAAAGCAGTAACAATCAAGGGTTTTTTCCCAAAAAATACTCTAAGATCCCTGTTTTACAGTTTCCAAGTAGGAATCTTGTGTGGCAGAGTGTTAATGGATGGTTCTGATGCCTTTCAGCTGTCGACTTCTTCAACCAGATCAATATGCTGTATGGGACCATCACGGACTTCTGCACGGAGGAGAGCTGCCCTGTGATGTCTGCTGGCCCCAAGTAAGAGCCTTTGTGTCCACCTTGTTGAGAGTGTGCAGTTTTGGAGGTGATTTTTCCTTTTTAAGCTGTGTTGAGTGCCAAAGTTGGGTGAGAAGTTGTTACCTGTGGAAGGAGAAAATGATTTGAACCTTTGTGAAGGGAGTAGGGAATGGAAAGTTGGGTTTTTAGGCTGCTTTTTGTTTGCTTGGTGTTGGTTTATTTTTTCCCTTTAACCAAAACCAAAACTATCACCCAAACTATTTTATCCCCCTTTTGTTTTCTCTGAAATGTGAATAAGAACATTTGAAGTGTCTATGTTTAACTGGGGCTTAGCAAACTCTTTCTGGGAGATGTTGTAGACATCTTAGATGTCTGGATAAGAATCCCTTACCCTGTGCTTTTCACCTCTTGGGTTCTTGCTTATCCGTTTGTGCAGACATCCAGTGTTTGTGGTTCTTCCTGCTCTCCAGCTGCTTAGTGTCTTCCAAAGAGGAAAATAGCTGCATTTCTCAGTGGTGAGGGAAGGCACTGCTTCCTTTGAAATCCTACATAAACAGTGAAGAAAAGCAATTCTCTCCTCCGCTTCCAGACAACAGTTTCTTTCTCCCCAAAGACACCTGTAGCCATTGACAGAAATGTATGTCATAATCCAAGAGGGAGAAGGCAGGTGCCAGAGGCTAGATGATGTGTTCTGCCAAGATTTTCATGAGGTAATGTTGTCTCTAGGATATCTAGAGCATTCCCCAAGCTCTGCAGCCCTGACCTGTGCTCATATCCAGTGTATTGGAGTGAGTGAGTGTGCCCTGCTTGCACTGAAGAGGTGTCCTGCAAATCCTGTCACCATGACAACACTGATGTTTACACATTTTTTGTCTTTAAAACCCATTTAAGTGGAGCAAAAAAGGCCCTTGGCAACTGACAGGTCAGTGAGGTTCATGACTAGTTTTCTTGTGGTTTATTTGGAATCCAGGGAGCGTTACCTGCTCCAAAGGGCATCCTGTAAGCAAATCTAGGGGCCATGTGGCTGTTTGTCTGTCCCAGTGTTCGGTTTTGGGAGTGATCTTGGGAGAAGAGCATAGGACGACAGGTAAAGCTGTGTATGCTGTGGGATCACTTTCCTTCCTTGTGGAAGGATTGCTGACTTAGTTTTATCAGGGTGTTAGGGCATTGAGTGAGCTCGGGAGTGATGTAAAGATAAGGACAGATCTCCCTCTCTTACTCTACATCTCATTGCCTGACCATTGGGTGAAAAAAACTACAGGTTTAGTTTGTTCCAAAACACAATTCCTCATAATAATGTCCCAGTCTTGTCACTTCAGCAATGACTGACCATTTCCTACCCCAAAAAAAGAGCTTTGCTTATCAGTTCTTTCTGTTCTTGCATCAGTTGCAGCATGTCAGTGCCACAGTTGGCATTTGTTTAGGCTTTGTACATGTAGTTGTGTGGTGCTTATAAACAGAGCTGGTCCTGTGATCATTTGTTCTGTCTGTAGATGGCCAATAGTTTGTATTTAGGATAAGAGAATTCCTTCCTCTGGGACATGCAGGATCAGCCCATGGTGCCCAGGGGTGGGGAGGGAGGGAGGCTTATGGCAGGATGGTATTTGGGTGTGATTTTCAGCATGGAATTCAGTTTGTTGTCTTACTCTGGCTCCAGACTGATCCTGGCACCTCAGCTAAGTGTTGCTATTTGTCCTACTTGAGTACCACTTCAGTCTTGCTGTTAGGGTGATACTGGGTGCCGAGGAATCCTGATGTTTCACAAATCCAGACGTGTGTTCCATTCGGGGATTTCTGTCTGTGTTCTGAGACACAATTTTAAAGCACTTTCAGAGCCTCTGATCTGTTGCTGTTACAAAAATGGGACCTTTCTTCCCTGCTGGGAGCAGCACCTTCACGATCCCTCAGCCAGGCTGTTTATGGTGCCAGTGCTCTCCCAGTTGTGTTCTGTCAGAACTGGATTTGTTAAACAAAACGAGAAGCCAGATTGATCAGATGCAGGGAAGTTTTGCATAAACCCATGGTGTTGAAAATAGAAGCCCTGTGGCTCACATGAGAGCTGCTCTTGTCAGGCTCCACAGGTTACATGTGTTTGGGATTTTAAGCTCTATGTTCCCAAGATTATCCACCTTCTCCTGTGTCTGGGCTGGTGTCATAGCATTCCCCAAGCCAGGCAGAATGTCTGTTCCATTCTGAATTTCCTGAGGACTTGTTTCTTAATCATAGAGTTAGAATCCCAGACTGGTTTGGGTTGGGAGGGAGTTGGAAATCCAAATGTTCCAACCCTCTGCCATGAGCAGGGACATCTTCCACTAGCCCAGGTTGCTCCAAGCCTCTTTCTCTTAGCTGAAAAGCTTCCAATTCTGTGACAGCATCCCTTGGCACAAACCCACCTGTGTCTGTCAAAGAGTTGCAGTTGGGGATCTCTGGCAAGAACTAAACTGGTTTGGGCTTCAGCCATTCAAAATACTTTTGAAGGTAAAGAAATTCCATGACTTCAGGAGGTCTAATATGTCTGGCTGGAAGCTGCTGCAGATGGTGAGTGCGGCAACATGGATGAAGTCTTGGAAGGCCATCCCAGACTGCAGTAGGGAGCTGAGCTGAAACAGAATGGCAGTGAGGAGGTTGGGTGAAGAGCTGGACTTGAGTTTCAAGGCAGGGCAGTGAGAGGGTGTGGGAGCACAGGGAGTGGAGCAGGAAGAGCAGATATGACTCACTTGTGTTAAGAAATGTCATCTTGTTGCCCTAACCCAGGTATGAGTACCACTGGGCAGATGGGACCAACATCAAGAAGCCAATCAAGTGCTCAGCACCAAAGTACATCGATTACCTGATGACTTGGGTCCAGGACCAGCTGGATGATGAAACACTATTCCCTTCTAAAATAGGTAAAGTAAACAAGGCAAACTGAGCAATGTGTTTGGGTCACAGTTGTACAGGAAGAGTCAAGTCTTGGAGCATGAAAGGTTCTCCTTAGTGACTGATGTGTAGGGCAGGTCTACAGGGTTACATTACCTGTACAAACACACTTATCTCTCCAGATAAAGCTCATCTGGTAGAACATGAACTCTGATCCATACATTAATGCTCCTAGTAGACACCTACCACAGTTTTGAAGGCAGGAAATGCTGTTTCTTTTCAATTGATGAGCACTGCCTGTGCTCATCAAGTCTGATGGTCTTCTCCACTTTGAACAGTGAGCTGTTTCTTTAGGAGTAAGACAGAGGGTCTCAAACCCTTAGAACCAGTAGCTGGTACAAACTGGCAGCTTTTTTACACAGAAAAGGTGTTTGGGCTCCGTGAGGAACTTCTGGGCCTTAACTCCAAAGAATCTGAATTGCATCTTTGGTCTTAAGTTAATGATTTTTTTTTTGTTCTTTCCAAGTGAAGATCAAAGATATTTTTAAAGAGGTTTCTCTCAGAAAAGGAGGAGGAAATTAATGACCAACCACCAGTTCAGAAGTGATAACAAGGGTGATCTCTGAATTGCTTTTATTTTGTGACTCATTTCTGTAGCTTTTGAGACATTTTCATGAAGCTTCTTCAGAGAAACAGAGTTGCCTTCAGAGAGGGACTCAAAGGCCACAAACTGATGTGAAAATACCAAATATTTATACTAATTATGCTAAATTCAGCTAAATGTGAACTTCCTGTACTCTGCAGCAGCCAGGGGAGGAAATGTGTTGTGCATGTGAGCAGGGCAAGCTGAAGCAGGAGTATAAAAATGTTACTGCTAAGGTCTGAGAGCTTTGATGATGTCCTGGTGAGCCTTGCAGCATCCAGCTGGGGCCCCTGGCCTTCAGACAGGACTTCACACTTGGAAAGGCTGCAGAAGAGCTACGCTGGCTGGGGAAACTAGTAGGTGAGGAGAAGCTAGACAGGTTTCATCTCTCTGGATGGTTGATACATATCTTTTTTTAGCCTGGGGATGTGTCAGCTCTAGAGATTGTTGCTCCCAGTAGCAGTAATAATCAGCTGCTTCCTAACTGGTTTCAATAAAACCTGTGCAGTGACAAAGCTCTGCTGCTGAAAGTGATTCTGCCTGTTGTTTTCATGGGAATGACTGAAAGGAGCATGTCCCAGAGTACTGGAAGCAGGAAGTTCAGGAAGCAGTAGCCTCTGGCTAAGGGTTGGGGGTAAGCAGGATGGACACAGGAGTCTTTTTGCTGGGCATGAAGCACATGGAAGAGACTCATAGAGTCATCAAGGTTAGAAGAGACCTGTAGAATCATAGAGTCATCAAGGTTGGAAGAGACCTCTAAGATGATAAAGTCCAACTATTAACCTGTCACTGCTGTAACACCTAAACCCTAAACTATCTTCTCCAGCACCAAATACAGACACTTCTTAAACATCTCCAGGGATGGTGACTCCACCACCTCCCTGGGCAATATTCCAGTGCCCGAACACCCTAACAGGGAAAACATTTCTCCTAACATCTAATCTGAGAGCCTGCTTCTGATTCCACTTGAGCCAAGAGAAGTGTAAACCTCCATGCCTGATCCCAGAAGTGGTTTCAGTTCCCTGCTCACAGGTGCCTGGCGGAGCTGGTCCTAAGCTCACTGTGATTTGCAGGCTGAATTGCAGAGTGAAACAACAGCCCTTGTTGTGCAAGAGGGAGGGTTGGGTTACCATGGCTTTCAAAATACACAGGCAGGGCCTGGGTGTTGGAAGAGAAACCATCTGTTTCCTTGTGTCCAGGTGTACCATTCCCAAAGAACTTCATGTCAGTGGCCAAGACCATTTTGAAGCGTCTCTTCAGAGTTTATGCTCACATCTATCACCAGCACTTTGATCCTGTGATCCAGCTGCAGGAGGAGGCACACCTTAACACTTCTTTCAAGCACTTTATCTTCTTTGTTCAGGTAAGGAAGCTGCAAAGAGTGTTTGTTTCAATGATGCTTTGCCCCTTTCCCTGGGGGGAAAACAGTATTGTGTTTCCTGGGGGGAGGAGCTTCAGGCTTTGCATGAGCAGGAAAGGCTGTAGTGGCTAAGCCTGGTCTTGGAGAGCCTATTGCCAAATAAATCCTGGCTCAGTAAGGTGTCTGTCCTCAGCTGCATGTACAAAACTCTCTGTGTGTCTTTTTCCTCATCCTCCTTGCAGGAATTCAACCTCATTGATAGAAGAGAACTTGCACCGCTCCAAGAACTGATTGAAAAACTCACCTCGAAGGACAGATAAAGGAAGAGGATTTCTTCAAGTCACTTGTTTCTTTAAGCAAGAGTGTGGTATTTGGTTTTTTTTGGTTCATTTGTTGGTTGTTTTTTTTTTAAAACAAAACAAACCAACCCCCCTTTGCTGTTCCCAGTGACAGCCAAGATCTCCTTTCTGTGCTTTTATTAGGGGAAATCTTCTTCTCTGTTAGTAACACGTGGTATAAATAGCTTTTGTTTTTTAATTATTATTATTATTATTTTTATTATT